AGCCCGCGGTTGCGGTACTTCTTGGCGATGGAGACCACGAGGCGGAGGTTGCCCGCGGAGAGGTCGCGTTTGGCCTGCTCGTACTCCCAGAAGCAGCAGTCCAGGCGGTGGACGAGGTCGTTGAGCGTCTCGGTGGACTCGAGGGTCAGCTCGTGGAGACCGAGCAGCTCCTCGCGCATCACCGCGACGTCCTCCGGGTCGAAGCGCGTCGGGTAGCGCTCCGCCTTCTTGAGCTCCTTCTCGAGCGTGTTCACCTTCTCGGCGATCGCGCGGAGCTTGCGGTGGAAGGGGTTGATGCGGCTCGTGCGGAGGGAGCACTCCTCGATGAGCGTGGCGAGCTTGCGCCGGCGCGTATCGATGCGCTCCTGGATCTGGTCGACCGTCTCCTGGTCGCCCTCCTCGATCGCGTCCATGAGGACGTCGTTGTCCTCGCGGTTGAGCTCGAGCAGACGCTTCACCGTCTTGATGTTGTAGGGGATGCGCTTCGCGATCTTCTCCTTGGCGTTCTCTTCCGCGGTGGAGATCTTCATCGTGCGATCGAAGGGCAGCTCACCGGCGTGGACCTGTTCGAGCGTCTCGACAGCCAGGGAGACGGCGTAGTCGTTCTCGAGAACGCGGCGGCGGAAGATCATGCGGGTCGTCTCGATCTTCTTCGCCAGGCGGATCTCCTCCTCGCGGGTCAGCAGCGGGATCGTGCCCATCTGCGTGAGGTACATGCGGACCGGGTCGTCGATGCGCTTCGCGGCGTTCTCCGCGGCCATCGCCTCCTCGGCGAGCTCGCGCGCCAACTCGGCGTCGAGCGAGCCGTCGTCCTCTTCGGACTTGGGCTTCGCCTCCGCCTCGGCTTCCTCGGCCTTGGGCTCATCCTTCGCGGGTGTTTCTTCCGCCTTGGGCTCGGGTTCGGGCTTGGGCTCGATGGGGTTGAGGTTCTCGTCGAGCTCGATGCCGCGACGCTTGGCCTCGCGCCACCGGCGGGCGCGGAACTCGCGCTCGTCGACGAGCTCGATGCCGAGCTTGTCGATCTCGATGAGGACCTCGTCGATCCGGTCGGGGTCGACGAAGTCGTCGGTGAGGGCGGTATTGAGTTCCTCGTAACCGAGCCAGCCGCGCTCGGCGCCGACCTCGATCAGTTCCAACATGGCGGGGTGAAGATCAGAAATCACTGGGTGCTCCCAAATCCTGGAGTCTTGCTTTCGGTTGTCCGCGCCCGGCCGGGGGCGATCCGCTTGGAGAGAGTGCTGGCGCGCGTCTTTGCGTCACCGTGGCGTTGCGGGCCCGTCTCGGCCTTCTTCGGAACTCTGTTGTGTGGCGCCGCGCAGGGCGCCGGGGGTACATCCTTCGAATTGTCACGCCCTGGGGAGTCGTTCGAGGTCCGGGTCGGGCGCTGGCCCCGGGCTCGCGGGTGTGTTGTTTCAGGAGGCGGGCCTGGGAAAGGCCAGGGGGTTGCCTCCGTACTGCTCGTGCTGGTGCCGGCGGGCCTCGATGAGGTTCCGGATCGCGTCGACGTCGTCGCCGCCCTGTGCGGACTCGCGGCTCTGATGGAGCGAAGCCATCTCGGCCCATTCGATACGCGCCCGCTTGTAGGCGTCTTTCCAGTTGGCCAGCACCGCCTCCGCGTTGCCGCCCGTGATCTGTTCGATTTCCGTGACCAGAGACGCGAGGGCCGACTTCGTGTCGGCGCCGCTCACCTCCGAGACCAACCTGTGCACGTCCGGGGTCCGGCTCTCCGTCTCGTGAATCTGGACGAACGAGCTGACGGCCTCTCGGAGCTGGCTGGAACCATACGCGCGCCCATCGGTGATGTCACGGGCTTCTTCAGGAAAATCGTTCAGAATCTTCGGTTCCACGAGCAGGCAGCCGAACGCGAACTCCGCTGGCGACCAGCGCCGCGGTCGATTCGTCGGCCCCGAACCCCCATCTCCCGAAGATCCTTCGGCCTCTTGGGCACTCAGAACGCGGTTCTGGCGCACCGATTGCGCCCCGATGGCCTCCCGGACGGCCGCCTCGTCCACCCCGGCCACCCGCGCGATGCGCCGGACGATCATCTGACGGCGGATCGGGTCGATCCGCCCGATGCCCAGCTCGACGAACCGTCGGATCTCCTCGTTGATCGCCTCGGCCCGGGCCGCGGTGCCGACCGCCTTGCCCTCCCGGTCGAGCCGCTCGCGGAGGCGGGCGAAGCGGTATTCCAGCGCGTCGCTCGCGCCGTCCAGGGCTTTTCGCATGGCTTCGGGGCCCCCCTCGGACTTGAGCAGGTCGTCCGGGTCCTGCCCGCCCGGGAGCGTGGCGATGCGCACCTCGATCGGGGAGGAGAAGAAGACCTCGAGCGCCCGGTCCGCCGCCTTCTGCCCGGCCTCGTCGCCGTCGAAGAGCAGGACGACCGTGTCGCATAACCGTTTGAGGACGTTGGCGTGCTTCGGCGTGAGCGCGGTGCCGCAGGTCGCGACGGCGTTCGTGAACCCCGCCTGGTGGCAGGCGATGGTGTCCGTGTACCCCTCGGTGACGACGGCGGTGCGCGAGGACTTGATCGACTCGCTCGCCTGCTTGAGCCCGAAGAGCGTCGCGGACTTGTCGTAGATGATCGACTCGGGGGAGTTGAGGTACTTCGGGTCGTCCTCGGCGCGGAGCTTGCGTCCCCCGAAGGCGACGGGCCGACCGATCTGGTCGAAGATCGGGAAGATCAGCCGGTGGCGGAACGTGTCGTACCGCTTGCCGTCCTCCTTGTCGCGGATAAGCCCCGCGTCGATGAAGGGGCGGAGATCCAGCTTTTTGGATTCGATCGTCTTGAGCAGCCCGTCCCACATGTGCGGCGCGGCGCCGATCTCGAAACGCTCGACCATCTCCTCCGAGATCCCGCGCGATTCCGCGGCGGCGTTCGCCTCGGCGCCGTGGTCCTCGCGGTTGTAGATCGCGCGGAAGAAGCCGAGCGCGACCTCGTTGGCGCGGGCGACGTCCGCGCGGCTCGAGCCGTGGGACTCCTCGGCCGGCGCCGGCGCGCCGCCCTGCGGGCGGTAGGGGGTGAGCGTGATGTTGGCGCGGTCGGCGAGGTACTGCAGCGCCTCGCGGAACTCCATGGAGTGGTAGCGCATGACAAAGTCGAAGACGTTTCCCGCGGCGCCGCAGGAGAAGCAGCAGAAGATCTGCTTGTGCGGGACGACGGCCATCGACGGCTTGTGGTCGTCGTGGAAGGGGCAGAGTCCGACGAACTCGCGTCCCTTGGGTTTCAGGTTGAGGTGCTCGCCGACGACACCCACGATGTCCGTCGCGTCGAGCACTCGCTGTCGGTCATCGTTCATCGTCGTCACACCCTGGACTCTGCTGCCTGACCCCGGCGGATCGGCCCCGCGCGGAACACCCGTCCGGCGCGCACGGAAGAAGAACACCGGCGCGGCGAATACCCGTCAGAACGTACGTTTCTCAATCTGTGTGCCGCGGGGCACCATCCCGAGGCTGGTGACGCGCTCAAGAGAGAGGTTCAAGGCCGCGATCGTGCGGATACGGGCCTTGCGAGGGGAGAGCGGGCCGATTGTTAAAACGTTATCACGCGCTGAACGCGGGTCAAACGCAACACGCGAATTCAGGTTCTTTTTCCCTTGACATTTTTGGGCTCTTCGATCTCTCTGCGGGCGGGCTCGGGCGCGCCCGCCGGCGGCGCGACTCTGCAACAATGCCGGGATGCAACGCGTGACGATCCAGTACACCGGCCGTGTCCAGGGGGTGGGCTTCCGCTTCACCGTCCGGGACATCGCGCTGGGCCTGGGGCTGGTCGGCTGGGTGCGTAACAACGCGGACGGCTCGGTCACCCTGTGCGCCCAGGGGAGCGGGGACCAGATCGAAGCCCTGCGCATGCGGATCCGCGAGTCCGGCGTCGGGCGCATCGACGGGGAGACGGAGATCCCGGACGCGTCGACCGCCGGCCTGCAATCATTCGAGATCGTCCGTTAGCCGACAGCTTTTCCACACGAACCAACACCAACCGACAGGCGCCGACACCCACCATGCTCGTTCTCTTTGACATCGACGGGACCATCCTCCGCACCTTCGGCCTCGGCGTCCGCGCCATGGGCCACGCCGGGCGCGAGCTCCACGGCCAGCACTTCGACGAGATGCGCGTGGAGTACGCGGGCCGTCTCGACCCGCTGATCATCGCGGACCTGCTCGTGGCGCACGAGCTGGAGGTCCACGAGGACGCCGTCACGGATTTCCGCGCGATGTACGGCAAGCACCTCGGCCTCATCCTCGAGCAGACGCCCGCGGAGCTCTGCCCGGGCGTGCACGAGCTCATCGACGCGCTCGAACAGACCGACGGCGTCACCCTGGGCCTGCTCACCGGCAACTACCCCGAGACCGGCGCGGTGAAGCTCCGCTCGGGCGGGATCGACCCCGAGCGGTTCATCATCCAGGTCTGGGGCGAGGACTCGCCCCACGACCCGCCCGCGCGGACGCACCTGCCCCCCGTCGGCATCAGCCGCTACCTCGAGAAGCACCAGCGCGAGATCGACCCCCGGGATGTCGTCATCATCGGCGACACGCCCGAGGACATCGGCTGCGCGAAGGCGTCGGGGTGCCGCTGCATCGCCGTCGCGACGGGCAAATACTCGACGGGCGAGCTGGCCGAGGCCGGCGCGGACCTGGCCGTCGAGGACCTCTCGGGCACCGAGGCCCTCGTCGGCTGGATCACCCGGGCCGAGGGCGCGATGAAATCGGGGTGACCGAATTCGGCATAATGCCGCGATGAGCACCATGACCACGCCGTCCCTGCGCCCGCTCGAGGAGCCGAACCGGATCCTGACGATCGACGTCGTCCGGGGGGTGGCGCTGCTGGGGATCTTCGCGATGAACATCATGACGTTCGCGATGCCCTTCGCGGCGTACATGAACCCGACCGCGTACCCGCCGGTCCCGTTCGAGGGCGTCAACCGGTGGACGTACTTCATCGTGCACTTCGTCTTCGACATGAAGATGATGACGCTCTTCTCGATGCTCTTCGGCGTGGGCGTGATGGTCTACGCGGAGAAGATCAGCCGCGGGGCCGAGGTCTCGGCCGTGCGCCGCCTCTGGTTCAAACGGATGCTCATCCTGCTCTGCATCGGGATGGTGCACGCGTACTTCATCTGGGAGGGCGACATCCTCGTGTCCTACGCGGTCGCGGGCATGGCGCTGCTGTGGTGGCTCCGCCGGCTGCCGGCGTGGGCGATGGTGCTGATCGCGGTGCCCTTCACGATCTTCCCGCACCTGATGTGGGCGCAGCAGGGCGTGGCGTATCACTTCATGCACGTCGCGGAGTCGCCGCCGGACTGGTTCATTCAGGCAACGGGGATCGACGAGCCCGAGAACCGCGAGAAGCTGCTGACCAACCTCGAGCCGCTGCAGGAGATGATGGCGCCCACGCCGGAGCAGACCGCGGAGCTGGAAGCGACGTACCGCGGCGGGTACCTGACGCTGCTCCCGTACCGCGCCGAGCAGTCGTTCTATATGCAGGCGTTCATGATCCCGCTGTTCATGCTGTGGCGAGCCGCCGCGATGATGCTCATCGGCGCCGCGCTGTACAAGTGGCGCGTGGTCACGGGCGAGCGGAGCACCTCGTTCTACGTGAAATTCACAGCGTTGAACTACCTCGTCGGCGTCCCGCTCCTCGTCGGCGGCATGCTCTACAACGACTCGATCGATTTCTCCCCCGGGCTGCTCATCGCCATCGGGATGCAGTTCAACGCGATCGGTTCCGTTCCCATGGCCATGGGCCACATGGGCCTGATCATCCTGATCGCCCGCGCCGTGCCCACCGCGCTCATCGTCCGGAGCCTCTCGGCCGTCGGACGCATGGCGCTGACGAATTACCTCATGCACGGGATCATCGCTTCGATCATCTTCTACGGCTACGGCTTCGCGCTGTACGGCCAAATGGACCGGCTCGAGCAGCAGATGGTCGTCGTCGCGGTCTGGGCCGCGCAGCTGATCTGGAGCCCGCTCTGGCTCAAGCACTTCCGCTTCGGCCCCGCCGAGTGGGCGTGGCGGAGCCTGACCTACGGCAAGCCGCAGCCGATGCGCCGAGCGGCGCCCGCGATGCAGGACGTGGGGTAAGAAGGCTCAGGCCGTCGCGGGCGTGTCGTCGTCCGCGTCGTCCTCGTCCTCGTGGGCGAAGTCGTACGCCGTGTCGGGCGAGTCGCCCAGCGCGATGAAGCGCGGGTTGAACTGGTTGAGCGCGCCGCAGTCCGGGCAGACGATGCCCTGCTCGCCCGCCGGCTCGCCTTTGAGCGACGTCCCGCACGTCCAGCACCGCTCGCCGATCACGCGGTTGGCCGTCTTGTTGACCGTCATCGTCACCGCAGCCAGCGCGACGCCGACCACCGGGAGCGTCAGCCACGCCGGGCTGAGCGAGATCACCCCGAACGCCGCCAACGGGATGCCGATGACGTACACGATCAGCCGCAGGCGCACCCGCCCGAGCCACGTCATGCCCTTGTCATGCAACCACTTCATATCCATGGATCAACTGTTCCCCATCAAGGCGGCCCGGCCCGGGTCGCCACCGCCGATCATAGGTCAACCGTCACGAAATCTCATCCGATTCCTGACGCTTCATCGTCAGGAATTCGCCCATTCGTGCACTCCCCGTCCGCGGTTCCCCTTACAGCGGCCGATAGGCGTCGATGACCTCTTTCAGCTTCTGCGGCCTCGGCAGGTCCTCCATCATGATCTCGATGCCGTCCTGCCCCGAACTCGAAATCCCGATGGTCCCCACGTTGAACACCCGGTCGAGCACCGACTGGTTGATCTGGATGTTCCGAACGTGGTCGTGCACCACCTCGCTCGTGTCGCGTCGGACGATGCCGCGGCGCTCGATCGTCCGCTTGTTCGTGATCTCGAAGGTTTTGCCGAGCACGGTCAGCGCCCACCACACGAAGAGCCACCCCCAGCTGAGCACCGCGACGACGGCGAAGGTCCACCACGAGATCGGGGCGCGGTTGGCCGTGCCGAGCTGGCCCAGCAGGAGATAGAGCCCGACCGGGCCGGCGATGGGGAGGAGGATCAGCGCGAGGCAGCGGAAGGGCGAGCCGCGGAAGACGGAGGGACGCACCATCATCACGCGCTGCTCCGGGCCGGAATCCGGCGGCAGGCCGAGCTTGGTGAGGGTCTCGCTCTGGTGCGCGGCGTCGCCGCTCGGGGCGGGCTTCGCGTCGGGCACGACGTTGATGTCCCCGCAGTGCGGGCACTCCACTTTCGTCCCCGCGAGGCTGGCGGGCTCGGAGAGCTCGCGCTCGCAGCGGTCGCATTCGAAGGTGATCATGGCCTTGCTCCTCGCGTCGGTGCGGGTGGGCGTGGGGGACGCGGATCTTCCCGTCGAAGAATACGGCACGCCCCCCGCGTCCGCATGTCCCGCGGCCTGTTCATGGGGACACCCCGCGACGGATTACACTGACCCCCCTGCATGCCACCGGAACCGCCCATCACGCTCGCGATCGAGAGCTCGAACCCGTCGAAGACGGACGCGTCCCGCGCCTCCGTCGCGATCGTCGCGGGCGGCGATCCGGGCGAGCTCCGCGTCCTGGCGCGGGCGAACCTCGACCGCTCGGACCACCGCGACGACGCGCTCGTCCGCGCCGTCGCGTCCGCGTCGTCGAGCGCGGGCGTCGCGTCTGGGGAGATCTCGAGGATCGCGGTCTCCGTCGGCCCGGGGGGGTACACGTCCGTCCGGATCGCGACGACCGTCGCCAGGAGCGTCGCGAGCGTGACCGGCGCGTCGTGCGTCCCGGTGCCGACGTCCTCGGGTGTCGCGGTCGCGCTCGCCGAAGCGCTGCGCGGCGCCGAGGCGCTGATCTGCCTCGCCTGGAAGCGCGAGGAGACCTGGGCGGAGCCGTGGCGCGACGGCCGTCGCGCCGGCGCGGCGCGGATCGTGAGCCTGGACGAGCTGGCGTCGTACGGCGGGTCGGTGGTCGTCGTCGAAGAGGCGTTCGCGTCGAAGCTGCGCGCCTCGTGCCCCTCGTTCTCGCCGAGGATCGTCGAGCCGGTGTTCGACCCGGTCGCGGTCGCCCGCGCGTCGTTCGCCCGCGAGGCGGTCCCCGTACACCAACTCGTGCCCCTGTACCCGCGCGAGCCCGAAGCGGTCCGGGTCTGGGCGCAGAAGCGCGGGCGCTAGCGGTCGATCGGCTCGGCGCCCTGGTCGAGCGTCACCCGCTTGCGGAACGCGTCGAGCGGGGGCGACGGCTCGGTGGAGGCGTCGCGGATCATCGCGGGCTCGACGGGGCGCTGCGTGGGCGTCGCGTTGTCGCCCTCGCCCTCCAGGATCACGTCGAGCAGCCGGATGCTGTCGATGATCTCGGCGCCCTCGACCACCTCCGCGAACGACGTGTACAGGCCGTCGAGCCCGGCGCACGCCTCGCGCGACAGGCAGATGAAGAATTGCGAGCCGTTCGTGTTCGGGTCGTACGGGTGGCGCGCGACGGAGAGCACGCCGAAATCGTGCGGCAGCGTGCTGGGCTCGAAATCGAGGTACGCCCCCGACCCGCCCCAGCCCTGACCCGAGGGGTCCCCCGCCTGGATCACGAAGGGTCGGCCGCGTCCGTCGTCGTTCATCACGCGGTGGAAGACGACGCCGTCGTAGAACCCGCCCTCGGCGAGCTCGACGAACACGGCGCTCGCTCGCGGCGCGTGCTCGGGGCGCGTGGCGATGCGCAGCGTGCCGAAGTCGGTCTCGAAGATCACGTCCCGCTTCTCGCGGATGCGGTAGCCGGAGAAGACCCGCTCGCGAGCGTCCGCCCGCTCGACCGTGGACTTGCGTGCCGCGACCGAGCTCGCGGGCTGTCGGGCGAGCTGGTTGAGCGTCTGCTCGTCCTTGCCCTCGGCGGACTTGACGAGCAGGTCCTCGTAGCCGTTGCGGGTCCGGACTGGCGTGAGCATCGGCTCGAGCACGAGCGGCGCGCCGACGGACTCGTCGCCGACGTACAGCTGGGCGTACATCACCGCCGGCGCGTTCGTCGTCCAGAGCACGGGGAAGAGCCCGGCGAGGTCCGCGGCCCCCGCCTCGACCGGCGCCCGCTGGCCCGTCGCGGGATCGTCGCCGGCGCGGACGATCAGCACGCTCGGCTCGCCGTCCAGCTCCGCGGGCACGTCGATCTGCACCCGGATCGGTCGGCTCACCCCGTTGTAGCGCGACTCGGGGCTGAGCTGGGCGAGCGCGGGCGACGCGCCGAGGGCGAGGCAGGCGAGGGCTGAAAAGAGTCGGCTCTGGGTCGTCATGGACGGAGTGTAGCCGTCGAACCGCGCGGGATCGCTCTCTCGGTAACGGGTTGGGGCGGGGGGCTCAGTAGTCGAGGCCGGCGGTGAAGGGACCGATCTCGCCGAGCTCGGACTCCGGGACACCGTTGTGGAGGTCGAGGACCTTCCAGGCCTGCACGACGGACGCCGGGGCGGAGTTCTCTTCGCCGGTGTTCGGGAGGTTGGCGTAGAGCTGGCCGTTGAAGTCCTCGTACCACGCGACGCTGAGGTCGCCGCGGAGCATGTTGTTGCCCTGCCGGTGGTTGTAGTCGCTCTGGGAGCGCATGGCGTCGGCAACGAGGGTGATGCCCGTGGGCAACTGGCTGCGGAGCCGGAATGCGGGATCGACGCGGTACTGGTAGTTGCCCGCGAGCTGCTCGTTGTGCTGGGGCCACATGTCCTCGTAGCGATCGTAGCCGTGCTCGCCGTGGTGGCTCGGGCAGTAGAACACGCCGTAGTGCGAGAGGTAGCTCATTTCGTAGAGGAAGCCGAGGCCGTCCCAGCGGACCTGGCCCTGGCCGGGGGGCGTCGCGGACAGGTCGTTGCCCGACAGCGCGCCGGCGGTCGCGAAGCGCAGGTAGACGGTGTTCTGAATGTTCTCGTTCTGGCGATCGAGGAAGACGCTGCCCGGGAGCACGTCGTCGTGATCGTCGATGTACATATCGAGCGCGTAGCCGATCTGTTTCATGTTCGACGCGCACACCACACGCCGGGCCATTTCCATGCTCCGAGTCAGGCTCGGGAGCAGGATGGAGACGAGGATGCCGACGACGACCATCGACACGAGGAGGTCGACAAGCGTGAAGCCGCGCGCCGTGCGCGAGCCGATAGACCCTCTCGCGTTCTTCGCGAACCGGGTGATCGCCTGTCTTTGGGGTTGAACTGGTGTCACCAGCACCCTCCACGTGTCTGGAATGCCGCGGCCACAAGCTCGGCCGGGGCGGATGTACCCATAGTATGCAGTGGGTCAATCGAAATTTGCCACCGAATCTTCCAACAATTTCACAGAAAGCGCTTCACAGGGCGTGAGGCGATTCGTATTCTGTTCGGTTCATCGGAGAAATTCCGCCTCATCATCGAGGGTCTCAGCAACATCTTTCCCCTCGGGGGCGTATAGCTATGCGTACGTCAGACGCGTTCTTCAAGCAGGCAGGGCCGGTATGAGCACTTCGGCCGACGACGACTATGGGTTGATGCAGCGTATCGCGTCCGATCAGGAGGACGCGATCGAGGAGCTGTACGACCGATTCGGGTCGCTCGTCTACCGGATGGCTTACCAGACGATGCCCTCGCGGGCGGACGCCGACGACGTCGTGCAGGAAGTGTTCGTCCGTCTCTGGAGGACGGCGGACAGGTATGACCCGAAACGTGCCGCTTTGGTGACATGGGTCATGCTGATCGCGCG